ATTATAAGTGGTAACGATAACTACACGTTTAACTCCCTTTTTAACACCGAAAACAGACGTGGCGTTTCTCGGTAACGTGGTGCCTGTATGCTGAATAAACGGCAACGGTTTTCGTAACATCTGGTGGACCGGCGTTTTTGTCACCACATGTCCCATCAGTCAACACGTGATAGCCTCTTTTCTCTAACTCTACTTCCACGTGTTAAAACCAGCATGGCCTTCCCCCCGTCCCCCCACCGAAACACACCGTTTCACATCTTCCCCATACCTCCAGGCGTGTGTCTATAAATACAATCCCCAAACAAACTCCCAATGTCGGACGGAACAAACAACGCCTGACGAGATCGATTCAGATAAAAAAAAAAAAAAAAAAAAAAAAAAAAAGAAAGAAAAGTCGTCCTCATCTCTCCCTTACTTCTGATTGCGGGAATGGAGTCGGATCAGTTATGGTTGATCGGCGAGGAATGTGGCGAGAAATTGGGGAAAATGGCGCGAAAAAAGAGTTTGGATGCGGAGAGCGGGGAGTCGTCGACGGAGGAGGTGGAGGTGGAGTCGCCAAGGTCGGTGGTGGTGAAGAAGAAGTTGGAGTGGGTGCACAGCCAGGTGTTGAGGATAAGAGAGGAGGAATCGTATCTTGGAGAGGATTTGCTCGGTGGTCTTGAGGGATTGAGCGGTAAAGATATCATCAAGACTGCTGTCGGCCGTGGTTCTTCTCCTAAACGGCACCGCGTGAATGTGGTGGTTTTGTCGAGGCCGATCTTACCTTGTTCGCCTCTCAGCGGCAAGACCGTCAAGGCTTTGCACTGAAGCCAGCTGATCTATTTATCAATGGATCGAACCAAGGTTTGCTTAATTTCTTGAACATAGTTTTTGATCGAATTCCGATTTACATAGTTTATGTGTTCGTCTTTTCAACGATGAAAAACTTCAACAAGAAAACTGAGAAATTAATTTTGATTGATTTCCAGGTTTTTCTTTGATATTTCGAATATGGAAAATGAAACTAAATTTATTATTATGTATTATCTTTTCTCGGCAACCAAACAGTAAACCGAAATACTTTTTTGATTTTTGATGAGATTACTTACACGTTTCCAAATTTCAATTGGAAAAGATGAGATTTCTTCAATCAACTGAAAGGATTGTAAATTTCTCCATAAATTAGGATTTGACTCATAACGTCTTAAGATGCAGAATTCAACAACAGTAGAAAGAATAAAATAAATAGAGATATTTTAATAATTAATGATGTGAGGTTACTGATGATATTGATTTTCCTTTTTTTGGGGGTTAATTATTGTTGGCAGGATCAAGTTGGAGATGAGAGGAAATAGCGAAGGATGAAGAAGAGCTGCTGTTTAGTGAGCTGGAGTTAAATGTTCACTTTGTTAGCTTTTTCTCATGTATAGAGTGTCCCTTTTTCTCAGTAGATGACCTGATCAAGCTTGTGTATAGTCAGTCCAACAAAAAATACAAAATCACACAACCTGTCTGCCTCTCAACAACTTTATTTTGTGTTCTTTTCCCTTGTTCCTGCACTTTACCATATCATCTTAGCTTCTTAGGCTGTGCATAAATTGCAAAAGTTTTTCCTCTTTCAGCTCCTAATTGACCAAATGAAAAAGCAAGATCCCCAATCACTCTTTTTCTTTTCAAGCCCTTTGAAGGATAGTTGAGACTTCAGAATCTGGCTCAAATCCTTATAGTATGTTTCGTATGAGGGAAATGAAGGGATGGGAGTGGAGGGAAGGAATGGAATTTTTTACCAACTAGATTGCAATACTTAAAAATATTATTAATTTGATAACTCAAGATTGCAAGTTCAAATCCTTATAGTATGTTTGGTTTGGGGGATGGAAATTCAGCTTTTCTTATGAGTTTTCTAGGTGATAACTCAAAGATTGGAAGAGCATAACTAAACTAGCAAGAGAAGCTACAGAAATTTTGGATTTGAACTGACTAAATTCATTAAACTTGAAGGGGGACAACACCATAACATGATAAAGCAGAAAATACTAGCTTAGTTCTAACTGATTTCATAGTTTCAGACGACCAATGAGCCCATTGGCAGAATTAACAGCCATTAAGGCAAATATGCTCAGTACTCATCACCTTCATCATCCTCTCCTTCAGCTGACTCAGCCCCAACTTCCTCGTAGTCCCTCTCAAGAGCAGCCAAGTCTTCCCTGGCCTCTGAGAACTCTCCTTCCTCCATACCCTCACCTACATACCAGTGCACAAATGCCCTCTTTGCATACATCAGATCAAACTTATGATCAATTCTCGAGAACACTTCTGCAACACTAGTTGAATTCGAAATCATGCATACAGCTCTCTGGACCCTGGCCAAGTCTCCTCCTGGAACCACAGTAGGAGGCTGATAGTTGATTCCACACTTGAACCCAGTTGGGCACCAATCCACAAACTGGATTGTCCTCTTGGTCTTGATAGTTGCCACTGCGGCATTCACATCTTTGGGCACCACGTCTCCTCTGTACATCAGGCAGCAAGCCATGTATTTGCCATGGCGAGGATCGCACTTTGCCATCATGGACGATGGCTCAAAAGCGCTGTTTGTGATTTCAGCAACGGAGAGCTGCTCGTGGTAGGCCTTCTCTGCTGAAATCACAGGAGCATATGAAGAAAGCATGAAATGGATACGAGGGTATGGGACCAAGTTGGTCTGGAACTCTGTCACATCCACATTCAGAGCACCATCAAAACGGAGAGATGCAGTCAAGGAAGAAATCACCTGTAAACCCAATTCGACACTCTTTATAGTCAAAAACCGAAATCAATCCTAAAACCACAAAATTTTGGATTGAATTGGTTATGATACCTGAGAAACGAGCCGGTTGAGATTGGTGTAAGTGGGTCTCTCGATATCGAGAGATCGACGGCAAATATCATAGATAGCTTCATTGTCCAGGAGGACTGCAACATCAGTGTGCTCCAGAAGAGAATGAGTTGACAGAACGCTGTTGTAAGGCTCCACAACAGAGGTAGAGACCTGAGGGGAAGGGTAGACAGTGAATCCGAGCTTCGACTTCTTTCCATAGTCGACAGAGAGCCTCTCGAGAAGGAGAGAACCCAAACCAGAGCCTGTTCCACCACCAACGGCATGGAAAACCAAAAACCCTTGAAGCCCTGTGCAATTGTCCGCTAGCTTTCTGATTCTGTCAAGGCACAGATCCACAATCTCTTTCCCAACTGTATCAATAACCAAAAAAATAAAACCCCCAGTGCTCAGCCCTCCATACACATAAAGGGAAATAACGAACTAATAAACCCCCTAATTGAAATTCTTACTTGTGTAGTGGCCCCTGGCAAAATTATTGGCGGCGTCTTCTTTGCCGCTGATGAGCTGCTCAGGGTGAAAAAGCTGGCGGTAAGTTCCGGTTCGGACCTCATCTATGACAGTGGGTTCCAGGTCCAAGAACACGGCACGGGGCACATGTTTTCCAGAGCCCGTCTCACTGAAGAAAGTATTGAAGGCATCGTCTCCGCCTCCCACAGTCTTATCACTAGGCATTTGTCCATCAGGCTGCAATCACACAAACACCCAACAACAAAAAAAGGGGAAAAAAAAAACCCAGAAATTAGAACCAAACAGAAAACGGCGGGGGAGAGTTCCGGTCAAGAATCTTCCAAGGACTGACTGACCTGAATGCCATGTTCAAGGCAGTAGAGCTCCCAGCAGGCATTGCCCACTTGGATACCGGCCTGGCCAATGTGGATCGAGATGCACTCTCTCATTTTGACAACTGTTGTTCGAGGAGAAGATTTTGATTTTGATTTTGATTTTGATTAGAGTAGAGGCAGGAGGAGGAGAAGAAGCTGCCGACGACGTATACAAAGACGCCTGGGCAAGGTAAAAAGTAAGGGAAAATGGAGAGGAGGTTAGGTTAATATAAAGACAAGAGAGGGGTCTGAAACGGCTATGAATTGGGCGAGTGGGATCCAACCGTTGGACCGTTGGTGTTTGGAATTTGAAATTTGAATTGCGAAGATGGGATGAAATGAATTGGGTTCGGATATGGAAGGTTGGGGAGCTGGGTTTGAAAGGTGGGCCAAGAAGTAGCAACCTTCCTTGACGGGCCCTAACCGCTGCTAACACGAGTTTCATTAGCTCCGTGATTTGTGGCATTTGGAATATTGAGGTGGGCTGCCAGGTTCTCCAAAGTCCAAACTAATCAGGTTTTTTTTTTTACTATGGAAAATACTATTAGAATAATCATTTTTTTTTATTTTTTTATATAACTTGATATGTCATTAAAATAATTGATTCTTTTAATTCATATGAAACCCGTGATATTGAATGCATCTACACTCAAGTCTCTACCCCATATATATGTCCTAAAGCAATGGAAAACAGAAATTAAAGCTTTAATTTTTAACATTGAAAGCAAGGTGGAGATGTAGTACAAAGAAGGACACAAAGGTCAATTACTTAAACAATTAATTTTCTTAAATAAATTAGGCTAATGTGATGGTGCATTTTTAAGATAATTTAGAGAGAATCAAGATAAGTTAACCTAAAGATACCTTATCTGTTGAAAAACACAAGCTTTAGTTTGTAGATAAAAAGGAGGAACATACTATTATTTCATTTAGGGGTATCCTAATAAAAAAACATGTTGAACAAATAAAGAGAACTATCTTTTTTTTGGTACCCTATATAACACATGACCAAATATATATATTCTCATATGTATCTTCTTAATTTCCACATGGCTTGACTCCTTACAATTAAGTGGCAAAGTAGAGTAGGTTGGAAAATACTACAGGTGGAAAAGCATAGACTTTTAACAAAAATAACGCATGCACCATTCTTACTTTGCCGCCGGCCATGCACCATGCCTAATTATTGTATGCAGTTTAAAGCATCTAAACATGATTACGTTAATAAATTAAATTTGGTCCATACTCTTTCTCCCTTAACATTAATCATATTCATACACATGCATGGTCTTTATGCCAAAGTATTTATTACTTCCTTCAAGTAAATTTGCTTAGCAATAAGTAGCATCGGGATTATTTAGCCGAAAGAGTTACAATTGATGATGAATTCTTATCGAGAATTAGGATGTTATTAAGGTTTTAATTCAACCATAAAAGAACCTAAAGAACAATTTCAGGTCATAGGAAATCCCTAATACAAGATCTTTCTAATGGGATCCAAGTTTGAGAACAACCCTAAGAAAGCCCATGTGAACATCTTTGGGCTTCAAATTTTGAAATCTGATACTAGAATGGGCCAGATTTTGGGCCTTCCCACTTCAAGAACTGGGACAAAGCCCATAGTCATGGTATCTCAAGAATCAAGATTACCTTAACTGAGAGATGGGGCACTCATCAAACTAGCATGTGAACTTGTTTCACATGTCAAAAGCCAATTATGTACTTTGATGATCATTCATCATTGATTATTGTAAAAAAAAATGCTAAAAAATAACACAGAAAAGCTTAAAGGCATATGGTGGTTCAATAATTAAGATCTTGACAGATCATGGCCCTCAAAATGGAAACTGTATTTTGTTTCTACAGCAGATTAATGGACCCAGTAACATTCCCATGCATTGCCTTTCCCTTCTAACTTTCATAATTTACCAATTCATCTACTCATCTTATGGGGATTTCGATGCTTACTGCTCCACATAATAAAATAAAATCAAAGAAGTGATTGTGCAGATCTTAACATTGTTTTAATCTAAACAAGCCAATGTTTAAATGTTTTGTAGTGATAATGTTCTTTCAGTAGGGGTTAGATGTTCTAAATCTGAATCTTATGATATATAGATGAAATAGGTAAAAGGAAAGAAGGATTTTCCCTTATTTCTTAAAAAAAAAAAGAAGAAAGAAAGAGAAAAGTTTGAAGCAAATGGTTATAAAGTGTACACTAATGATTTTCTGTTGCTGATGAGACGTGTAGGCCAAAATGCAATGTTAGCAACCAACATGATGCAAATGATGATAGGTTAGTTGAGATATCTCAGCAATCAATACAAAAGAAACGTTTCATGAGTCTATTTTATCTTTTCCAATATAAAAAGGTCATGCTAAGCAGACACAGCCAAGAGTTAACCCAAACTTCAAAATTGTGGTCCTTTAATTTAAAGTTTAGTCTTATATGGACCATTTTAGACCCTTGTAGTCCAACATACCTTTACTTCCATTTTTTTATCTTCATTCATTTAAAATTATTGCAGTTATCACCAATTCCCTGCAGTTAATTAAGAATTTTATTTAAAGTCATCAATAACAACTCATACACAATAATTAAGTAAAAATTTTGATTCAAACCTCATTTTGAATGAGATGTAATTCTGATCCAATACAATTATTTTAACTGATAATTCGTGATTAATCACTAATCATTGTTAAAGAATGGCAGGTAGATAACAACGAACAAGACTGTTAAAATATAGTCTAGCCACAGCACAGATCAATCATTTTGAAAAAGCCTAAACCACAATTTATTTTGAAGCACATCACATGGTTACATAGTACATGTTCTTATTTAAAACATATGCTAGGACCAAAATCACTCACCAGAATGGATCTAATGTCCCCAAAAGTGTATACAAAGGCAACCACCGCCACATCTTGATCTCATTTCTAAAAACCCTTTCGGCTTCAAAAACAGCTTGGCTTTATTTTGTTATATAATCAAGGTTGTCAAAATCGAGATTTTACTTGAGATCGGAAGGGATAGATGAGATCGCAAATCATAAGATCGCAAATAGGATCGTAAGATCCTAGCAAATTTAACAAAAAAATTATAAACTATGTAAACGTCTTAAAATAAATTGTTAAGTTTGTTTCATTGATGAAATAAGTTTAAAATGAAATATTTAAAATTTCAAATATGAAGTACTTAATACTTAATAGTTCATAATATAATTTAAAGGCTAACAATAATTGCATATGGTAAAAAAAATCAAAATAACAACTCAAAAATCATCTTTCATATCATCATTTTCTTCGGCTTCTATATCTTGATTTTCCTCATCATCTTCATCGTTAACAAAAGTGGTCTCCAATGAATTGTTGTTCTCCAATTCATCTTCTTTGTCATCTTCTACAAAATCATCTTCTATGTCATCTTCGCTTTCAGGATCTATTAATTCTTCATTTGTTTGGGAATCGGCTAGCCATTCGTCATCTGAAGAGATATCATCTAACTCAACTTTCTTCCTCACTTGTTCGTCTTTCAATTTTAAGTTGCACATGACAAACACTAATTCATTCATTTTCTTTTGATGTAGACGATTCCTCCTTTTTGTATGAACCTATAACAATTCATTTGTTATAAAATATTAATAAAAATGAAGAAATAACAATGTAAAAAACTAAGTATTAATTAAATTAAATTTAAAGGATAATAAAATTTTACCATCTCAAAAGCACTCCAATTACGTTCACAACCAGATGAACTACAAGTCAAACTAAGAATTGGAATTGTGAAACGCTGCAATTCAAGATATTCATCTCCATAAGACTCCCACCAATCAGCTGAAGATTTCTTATTCCATATATTTCTTGCTTGAGTACTTCCAAATAATCACTTACGAGCCTTGAAAAAATCCATTTGAGAATCAATTTTATTCCTTTCATCTTGATTCAACACCATCCTTTCCAAGCAATCATATAAACCCCTTTGAATCTCCATATCAACCTTGTAATTATTTTCAGGATTTGGATCAAAACAAAGATGAGGATTCAGAAAATATGCTGCTGCATGCAGTGGTCTATGGAGTTGAGATGCCCATCTATCATTGATAATTTTCCAAATAGGCTCATAACTTAAAAAAAGAAAAAGAAAAAAAGAGGGCATGTTAAAAACAATTGAATATTAAAATTTAAATAATTAATTATATTAAATAAACAATTAATCATACCTTTTTTTGACTTTCTTAAAATTTTCTTGAATCTTTTCCTTGTAGTGATCCCCCTCTTCATAAATGAAAGGCATGGTTGGCTTCTCACTAGAGTCCACCAAACGAAGCACCTTAATGAGTGGATGTGCAGCCTTTAAACATGTAGTAATATTCTTCCAAAAATTTGGATCCAAAATCACTTTCTCCACAAACTTTCCATCTCTCATTTTTGAATACTTACTTTGTTTCCATTTAGTGGAGGAAAACATGGACACCAATGCATTCTTAAATTCATTGAGGCACCCCAAAGTAAAATATGAGGTAGCAAAACGAGTGGCTGCTGGTCTAATTAAATCCCTACCTTTGGTAAACTGCTTCATCAAGGAAATAAGTAGAGTTCTTGAATAGATGAAAATTGTTACCCTTTTTCCCTTGTAAATTGTATCTCTGTGGATCTCTAATATTTTCTCAAAATCCTCCAATATTAAATCAATGTAGTGTGTTGCACAAGGTGTCCAAAATATTATTTTCCTTTTCTCCATTAACATCTCTCCTGTAGCTTTATAATTAGCAGCATTGTCTGTAATAACCTGCACAACATTTTCTTCCCCCACTTTCTCAACGATATCATCTAACATCTCCAAAACTTTTTCAGTAGTTTTTGAAATTTCAAATGTATCAATTGATGATAAAAAAAAAACTGTTCCCATGGGACTATTCACCAAAAAATTCACTATTGATCGTCGTTTTTTGTCACTCCATCCATCTGACATAATAGTGCAACCAGTTCTTGTCCATTCTTTTTTATGCTCCTCAAGCAATTCATTTGTTAGGCCCATCTCTTTCTTCAAATATGTTTCTCTAATTTGGTGATAAGAAGGAGGTTTGTACCCAATCCCATACCTCCCAATTCCCTCACACATTTGTATAAAATATGGATTCTTCACACAATTAAAAAGTATTGCACTTGTGTAAAAAAATATGGTAACACATTGATGTACTTCCTCCTCCATATC